CTATTTAACGATTAAAATAAACAACAACACAAAAAAAAAGTTTTATTTCTTCAGTTTCAAGTTCCACATTTTGTTTAACCAACGTTAATTTCAATAGGCCTAACTTCACAAAGAAGTTGTGTCAAATATAAAATATAATTACTTGTTCATTTCGTATCTCTATTTCATTACACTGAACTAACTGGCTGACAGTAACAGATAAACTGGGTAAATCATCTAATGGTTACTCTTTATCTAACCAACAGAACATCTAACAGTGTAACTCAATAACTAATATCTCATTCCAGCTTAACGTTTTATCCGGACTTTTAATATATAGCTCAAATTGTATCTTAAGATTTGAAGAACGTTCGAAACAATAGTCTCGACCATATTGTTATGTTAAATATTTACTAGACTAAACAACAATACAACTTTCGAGAAACTATTGGTCCTATAAACATTTCAATATTTAAAACTTTTGTTTGTTTGTAATTAAGCACAAAGCAACACAAAGGACTATCTGTGCTCTGCCCACCACGGGTATCGAAACCCGGTTTCTAGCGTTGTAAGTCTGCAGACATACCGCTGTGCCACTGGGGGGCCAGCCCAAAGGTAATTCTAACTATTTGCTGACAAACATTTAGAGTTGGTCTTATTAAAATGTTAAATGATAAGAAGACATAAGCTAAATATAGTATAAGTTTCAAGTTCTGCTACGATAGTATACTGTAAGATGTACATGACTGTTTAAGTTAATAAAAAAGGTATGATAGTTTAGATATAGCGCGATTGTTAAATTTAGTTATTTTTAGAAGGATAGCTTATGGCAGGTTTGTTTAAGTCACTGTTTACGAATCACATGCTTTGTAGTTTAATTGCTGTGAATTAGCGATTGTTTTATTATCGCGTTGTGTTACTAGAGCATTCTAAGTTTTCTGGTTGTTTTAATTGAATATTATTGCAGCATAATATCTCGAAGTGTGTAGAACGTTCTAGGCCTCTGTCAGGCTAATACGCGTCCAAAATATAATACGAGTTAGATAGATAGATAGTTAGACCTAGACTGCGTGACTGTGAGTCTAGAGATAAATAGCTTATAGCGGCGATTTCTAAAGTGAAATTATCACAGATTGTATTGTAATAACAGGATATAGAAGAAATAATTTGTCAATTGTGTTCTAAAGTAATTTAACCAGCCTGTGTGGACTTTGACGAAAAAAAAGACAACTATTTAAAGCTCTGGATACAACTGTTGTAACCAACAGGGTAACCAACACTTGTATATACTATTTTAAAACAAATGGACTGTGTGCAGTTTGTTTATTGTAGAAATTTGTCGCCAACAAGTCACAGACACCAAATGTAAATAATCCGTCTCATACATACATCCATACGTAACCTGAACTATATTATAAGGTAATATCTAGAGATAATGGCTACGCCAATGGGGAATAAAAATAACCAGCCACGTGTTAGTGTAATTACACTAGTTAAATGTAAGGTTTCAATCCTCCTAATTTAGTTCTACTCAAGTTTCATTACAAGTGTCAGTAAATTTGAATCTGATCCTGACTGGGTGTACATGCGACCGTCTCATATAAGTAACCTTCAAGTACACACACCGTTTTCTTGTCTTTACGTTAATAAACATTGTGTTCTTTGTGTGCTACATTCGCTACTCTTAGACATAAACCCATCCGGTATACCTTTAGTACTGTTCTGTATTATCTTATCTTGTCAATCTCCTGTTAAGCATCGTACCTATATTCAGCCACCCAGTGATGATAGTTAGAAAATGTTGGTGCCATTACCGCATATTTTAATGTTTTTAGGGTTTATGATACTAAATTTACTTATGATATTCTGTTGTTAGTACTTGGAGAACGTCGTGGGAATGAATTATTCGGTTGTTGACATTAATAGTATGTTTTTATTTATCCGACCTCAATCTGTGTACAAATTTAAAACAAATGCTTAGTCCTCTTATTTTTTATTTGTCAGATATCTTGAAAAATTTGCAATACATGCTATGTTACATTCGATGAATATAAAAATAAAATGAATTATCTTGTATGTTACTTATCTCGTCTAAAACAAAAGATGAATATAAAGTTAGCTTCATATTCAAAATCGTTATTTCTCTTGTTCAGTTGTAACAATAATGTGTCCTAGTGTAACAAAAAATAGTTTTGTTAAATTGTTTCATCGTTCTTTATATATTGGCAATCAGTTGTTGATATTTTAATCCGTTTTCTTTATGAAATTTAAAAAAATACATAGGATTCAAAAATCAGGTAAGTCTGACTAATCCAAGCGGTTTAAGAAGGTAGACTTCGATTTGAATTAATTTGGAATGAATGTGAAATAAAAGCGTGAAAGCTGGTTGAATGATTATCTAAAGTAGTTAGTTGCCTGTGACGACATGATGATTCATAGATTGGTTTGTTTGTTGAATTTTGCACAAAACTACTCGAGGGCTATCTGTGCTAGCCGTCCCTAATTTTGAAGTGATAGAATAGAGGGAAGATAGCTAGTCAACACAACCCACCGACAATCTTGGGCTACTATTTCCAAAGAATATAACGCCCCCATGGCTGAAAGGGTGAGCAGGTTCGGGGATGGTTTTATCTCTCAGATTGTAAGTCAAGCGCTCTGACCACCAGGCCGTGCCAGACCATTTACATTGATTTTGTAAAGGAATGCTGGAGGTATGACAAGGATTTCACGGCACAATTCAGAATATGCATCAAAAGGGAATTCGCGAAATAAAGAAATTAATAAGGGAGAGGGAACACTTATAGAAAGGGCTTCAATGAAGTAGAAATTAACGAAACAGATTTTAAGCTAACATAATAACTAGATGAAATATCAAGTAATAAACTGCGAAAAATGTTAAATGTACGTTTATTAGCTAGTCCCCCCCCCCTCCCATCCTTAGTGGCTGAAACCAAGATTCGATACTTATGGTGGGCACAGAACAGATAACCCATTGTGTCACTTTGCGCTTAACTACAAACAGACAAAGATTAACAGTAGTGGTTAAAATATATTTCCTGGTTATATTAAACGTAATCTACAAAACTGTGAGTGGAAAATACTTTTCTCTCCCAGTATTCAAACTGCTAACCAAGAATGGTTTCACTATTAAATGAAACAGTAAATCAATCAATTTGTCAGAATCAAGACAGTACTGTAAGTTTTCACGAACTAAATTTAAAATTATTTTAGAACCTTTATATCTGTAAGCATGAAAACATACTGTTTGAACTTCATTTTTGTTTATATATGATATTTATGAAGAGTTCTGTTTGTTGTTAAGCGTAAAGCTACACAACATGCTATCTGTACTTTTCCCATCGCAGGTATCGAAATCGGATTTTGAACGCTATATACCCTCAGGCTTACCGTGGAGGCACCGAGATAAGGGCCTATTCACTCAATGTTTTGCTAATTATATACCACGTGCTACGAAATTCTTTCTAAAAAGTACACAAATGATGCGAAATTACGTAATTATACAAAATTTTGACCTATTTCTGAATCCACCGAAAGTCCAGGAACCCTCTTTTACAGAAAGGAATAAACGAGAAGAACTGATACTTTTTTTACTTATTCTGTAAAACTGTAAAAAAATCAATAATTATTCTATACAATTGATGAAAATTGTAAAGACATATCCTTTATGAATAATATTTTTAAACAATAATGATGTATCTATTTTATTTTATTAATCAACACATCTTTAATGAATTACACGTATCATTATAAGTAGTCCTATATATCATTAAGCTTATATTTTGGTAAACAGTTGGACTCAATCACTTTCCACAATCCCGTATCCACCTTTGGGCTGTTAAACTGTTTTTTGAAGACAGTTTATTGTTCGGAGTTCACTGTCTACAGTAATCACGATTGATTACTGGTTATCGACTCTCCCACTATGATAATAACAAGATAAGTAATTATATGCATTTCTCAGACGTATGCTTTAACTACACATCATCTTCAGTTAGCTCAGCTTTCCCCACCCCCTCCTTTCCGCACCTCATACCACCACCACCATTGTGCCTTTTGGGGCAGCAGTTTTTTTATATGAGAGGCCTTTGTGGGCGTTAAAATTCAATCAACATGCTCATGATAAAAGTTGAGGATTTTAAACTTATTCAGAAGTTGGATCTAAATAATTATAGCCTTTAGTGGTTTTTGATAAAATGTCTGCTTCACCACTTAACTTTGACATTGGTATTTATTGTTTCTTTTAAATATTTTGGTTATTTTAAAAAGTAGAATACTACTTAAGTATTATACCAGGTGGCACCCTTATATTTTTCGATTATTTATCACGTACTTGACAGACGTATTATCAAGTTTATTACTTGTACAACCGAGAGGCAAATGAACTTCTGCGTTACCATAACGTTACTATTTTAAAAACTGGTACATTAAAAAAGTAGCAAGCCTATCAGATTCGTTTTCATGAGTTGTATTCGAATGTAAATGGTTAACTAAGAGCAAGTCATTTTATAACAATCTGACACAAATGCACTAGAATATGTGCAAAAGAATGTTTATATGGTATATTAACCTGCCATTTAGGGCTCTTTTTATCAATCCCCAAATATTATAGCTGTTGCCCTACTTTAACTTCTTTAAGTAGTAGTGGTTTCCACAACTAACATTCACTTTCTTTAAACTATGAATCGAGAGATTTGTAAATCTGTTATATACATACGAGAACCATTCTGAAGACTTAGTGAACTGTATTCAATGACTTTTACATAGAAGTAGACAAAATCACTGAATAAAAAAAATCAAGTTGTTTCAGTTTTAATTCGTGTTAAGAGTATTATTCGTTAACAATGAAATTGCTTAGCCTGTTTACTTACTTGGTAATTATTCTATGGTCATCAACAACCACTGACGCTGTCGATAATTCAACTGTTTGGAATAATCTTAAAATAAAGACAGGAAAGACCCCAGTTCTGGACAAAGAGTATGTGCTCACAGTTTGGAAGGCAATGGAAAACAAGAGCCAAGAAACTGCCCAGTTCATAGTAGATAAGGTCGGAGATACTGTAATAGAGTTTTTGAGAAACACCAACATTTCCAAGCCTTGCGTATCAAGTATAATTTCGCTACTCAGAGGTTTTGCGAAGACCAAAAAATGGGCTGTGGAAAGTAAGTTTTAAAGGTTATCGTAATGAAAAGATATTAATTGATTCATAGTATCGGTTTTTTTATAAAATTAACATAGTTTAAATGACGTATCCTGAACATCATTTTTTTATATAAATAGCTAAGTGTCGTCCTGATAATTAAAATCCATAAAAATTATTACATCAGGCTGTAAGTAACCTCATGTAATATAAATTGTTTAACATTTAATAGAGCAATAATAGTTTCTTAACCACTTAGTCTACTCTGCATTCACTTTAAAGAGTGAAATAACAGCTCGTGAGTTATTAACTCCAGCAACAAGAGCACCTATAACATATATAACTCTATAGCTTTTACTTAAAGGCATAATCCGTGATCATTACATTATAGATATTTGTTTAATTTAAGAGTTTTATTATTTAGTTTATTTGGTAATTTAACATTTAATGATGATTTACTTTTCATAACAAGAGAGTTAAAAGTAATTACTTTAAAAGTGATAGTTTTGACAAGTTTGGTTGCATAACTCGGTAAGATAAGTCGTATGTTGTGTGTGTGGTTCAATTTTTGTATTATTTTTGATGCCACTTACTCGAATATTTGGCATTTTTCTCGTTACCTTAAGTGAGTATTGTTCCATTATAGCACTGCATAGTTTATAGAAAGTTCGAGGCTTCAGTGAACAATGTATAAATATAGGCGACCAAGCGAGCGCAAGTAAGTAAAAGTTCAGTTAGAAAACGTGAAGTTAGCCAGCATGTGAGTGAATAGCTATAATGGGCAATATTTTAAAGTGAGTTTTTACAGTTTAATAGAGATAAGGAGAATAATTTGTCTTGTCGAAGGGTGTTCTAAAGTAATTATAAAGTAATTGAACCCGTGTGTGTGGACTTTGACGAAAGGGAGACAATTATTTAAAGTCTGAGATACAATTCTGGTAACCCATGGAATGCCGTAGGTGAACATATCGCAGATTGTATAGTAAGAAACAAAGTACAGAAAAATAGTTCATCTTGTCAGTTGGATTCTAAAGTAATTAAATAGCCTGTATGGACTCTTGACAAAAAAGAAAATTATTTAGAGTTTTAGATAGGACTGTGATTTCCTATAATGTAAAGATTTTTTTTGTACATACGGTTGACTTGTTTTGAAGATACATTATTTTAAAACAAGTAGATTGTGTGCTGTCCATTTATTGTTTGAGTTTATTGTCAACAAGCCACAGACACCTACTGTAGAAGAATCCCAGCCCACCTATATTCAAAAACCTGACAATGTTTTGTAATGTCAATACGTTTCTACAATATAATAAAATGTCTGATGATAAACGTATCGGCCTTAACAAGTGGTGTACCATATTTTCACAACTTTATTGATGATTTCAGTGATAGATGCATCAGGAAAGCTGCCTGAAGGAATCCTTACTGGCACTGTAACCGCTTTTGGTTCCTATGACGAATGTGTTGATATCAAACTAAATACCGAAGATAACACAGGTGGATTTAGGGGGCAGTATTGTACTCTGAGATTTCAACCTGTTCTACCACCACATCCACGATTTCAAAGCATTGTGAAACGTTTAGATATCTTTACGAATTTTACTTCGTCTGACAAGGTGTGTTTTATAAACTAATTTCCGCTATGCAAAGATGTGAGCGGTATTATTTTAAGTTCTTATGCAAGTAATGTTTTATATCCAACGTGTTTTATCGGATAACAAAACGATAATTAATTATCTTGAGAGTTCTTACAACTACTTAAGCCTCTAAGCATTTTCATTATCTCTAAACGAGGTCTTTCCTTGTATGAGGACCACTATCAAGTTAGTAAAAAGAAAATGAAATAATATGGCCATTAAGTATAAGGCAGAAATAAAAACGATAAAATCTTTAATACTGAAAAGAAAATAACAACTTCAATTTGATCACAATTATCCATCTGTGTAGTTTTTCGATAAACTTAATATGGTTTAACGCATTCAAGTATAAAAGTAATACTTACTAAAAATTTATAGTTTTAAAATTAAAAAAATACCGAAAACAATTATAAAATACACTAACTAGCTTTATCATTAAATTCAACACCTCAAAAAATGTGAATAAATAGGAGCCTTTTCACGGACAGTTGGTCAACTTATACAAATTTTAATGAATGCCTGACGAACAAATTTTCACCGTGGAAATATTTGAATGTTTGGAAGGAATAGTGATGTTGGTGTCAGACACTTTTTAGGTGAAGTATACAAAGTTTGAAATGGCTAGAATTAACATAAGGTAATTATATTATTTGTAAAATTCAAAAGACAAGTTTCCAATTTATCAATACATGTTTTCCAGGTTTTTAGTATTTTATCAAGAGATGCGCAGTACTTCAGCTATCTTTCCTTCCGTATTGGAATTTGCTTGCCATCAACCTGTCCAGTGGAAGACATCCAGAAATTATCAGACAGAAGTAAGTGTTTCATTCTGGAAAAAAATCTAGAAATTTGGCGTTTTCTTCTGTTTCTGTGATCAGAAGAGATAAGTACTGATAAGTGATACTTTACTCGTTACCTTTGGATAAATTGGTATAGTGCAAAAACAAAACAAAATAATAACATTTAACTGAGATATGGAAGGTGAAATAACCAACAGTAGGGATAAAGTGGTTGATGTGAGATTTATCTAGATCTATAATAAAAGAAAATAATTATTTTAACAGTCACAGTTTTGTTTTACTCTCTTAACACTGGTAGAATTCTGAAACTAACCTAAAAGAAACTAATAAATACTTTTAAAAAAAGAAGTGAAACTTCCTAGTTATGCCCTTGATAGTGCCAGTGGGTAGGAAGTGGGGGCAAACACACTCTACCTTCTAGTACTACAACTTATGTTTTGTAGAAATAAACTGATGATATCTTAAAATAAAAACAAGGTAGTTAATAGAGCTGATGCAATTCTTTCTACTAGCCTAAAGAGTAAGACAAATGGGTTGATTACTAAGAAAAAAAAATATGACTTGGAATGCAATATTAAATGAAGTGTTGAACAAGCATATTAAATGTTAATTAATTATACTTTAATAAGACATTAGTACTAGGCCTATTATATTTTTTACAATACATTCTTTATTCAGTCCTTTAGGGTATTTGTTTTCCAAAAGGAAAAGTGTATAATAGTATTTAAACTACATCGTGTCCGCCATTCATTGCCGACGACGCTTTTCGTCCAATACAGATCTCATTATACCAGGTGGGACATAAGAAGCTTAGTTGTGGTATAATATAGAATGTAGTGTTAAAACTGTAATAGGCCTAATACTAATGTTTTGTGACAAGTATAATTGTTTATAATCATGCTTCGTCAGCTGAGAAAATGACATTCAAACCATAAAATATTGATATATTAAATGCTATTTCTCATCTTTAGAGTGGTTTCTGGATAATTTTTTCTCAATTCCATTTCCTTCTGTTTGTTAGCTAATAAGAAGTTAACTTTAGTATATATTTTTTTCTCTTAGGTATAAAGGCTATAATCTTTTAGCTGAAAATATAACACAGAAGTCTTGTCGTGATTTTAGTTGTAAACACGCCGATTATGGCAGAAGGTAGGTTATAAAACAAAATAAAGAAAAACTAAATGGATTTAAAAACAAAAATGTATATACAACGTGACTAACTGCATATTTTCCTTCCCAAGGTTTTTTTTTATAATAATAAACAAGACATCGAATGTGGTTTGGTTTGGCTGTATATGGTTCACTGGAAGTTAAAGTTTCTTAGTTTTGAATATTTCCAATGATATTGAGGGAAGTGTTAAAATTCTCTAGCTTATTTTAGCATTTATAAACAAAACAAACATTTACAGTGGCCACGTGGATGTATTTATCAAGTAAGACAGTATATTGCGAAGAGAAAGAGAAGATGAAATTAGATGTACATCAGATAATAGCAGGGTGAGTTGTGTCTTTCTTTCCGTATCATTATTTCACCGAGAATAAGATATTTAAATATTTAACTCAATCGACTTATCACGATCGAGAAAAGTTTAGGTAAAGTTAGCCTTGATTATAATTCAGACGACATTTCAAATAATCAATTGGATACTAATCTAGCAATAAAATCTGAATTTTAGTTGAAAACGAGATGTCATATAATTAAACTTTTTTCTTTTTTATATCTAAAACTTCTTTACTTTAATTTGTAAATAAGTAGGTTCAGTTATAATGCACTGCAAAGAACAATTGGAGAATAATTGAAATTTGTAATATTTTAGCTATGACGAGATAAACCTCTGTTATGAGATGATGCTAATCACGTCCACAAACACTCAGGTCATTTTTATTCAAATCAAACACATGATAATTTTTTTCATTTGGTTTTAAATGTAAAAGTTTTCTATTCAGTCTATACTCGTAGATGAAAATTTCGTCGTCGTTGTTGTTATCTTTGAGCGCAAACTTTATTTACCGGGATGAATCAAGCCTCGTATTTTAGAGTTGTAAGCCCGTAAACGTACCGTTGACCGATCGGGAGCTGAAAGTTTGGTAGAGATAGCTTTACGTCTTAATGGTGTATGACATTTTGCTTCATCATGGGATATGGTTACCACGAATTACGCAGAAAAACTGGCTTTGATGTTACGTGCTTAAAATCAGAATGCTCATTAGTTTTCTTTGTTGTTTAAAATCATATTCTTTATGAGATCCTGGAGAAATTTATATTTATTTTTCTGAAAAAAAAACTGTCTCCAGGGCATTATTAACGAATAGACTCACCAGATGGAATTTGGTGCTTTTCATACATCTGGCGCATGCTCTATAGGAATCAAATTCAGTGAAGTGCTGACTAATCAACTCTTCAAAGAAAATTCGATGACGAGGAACCCACTTTGAGACTAATAATGGCTGGAGACGGCTTAAATGGGT